ACCTTAACCTTTTGAAAACATATACAATCTATTAAAATACATTTTCTTTTCTATGCATAAGCATGTGGCTGTGTGGGAAATATATTCAGCTTTTATTTATTTATTTGTTTTTACCTATTTACTCAATCTGGACTTCAGGATTGTCTTTCTTACATGTTTTGTTTTCTTGCTTCTGCATATCTGTTAAAATGAATGGGCAACTAAAATGTTTTTTATATACCTTTTTAAACATGTTTCAGTCGTTTTTATCATATATTTGGCTTCTTTTGTTGCATAAGTAGAAAAAATATTTTTAACACATGGGGGATTGCTGGTTAACTAGCTAGCTAGCTAGCTAGCTAGTGTACTGACTGCCCAACCAACTACTCAATTAAAATGCAAATATGTAGTTTCTAACACTTTGTTATTCATGCACTCAGTGCAAATTAATAGTTTTAAATGTATTTTTTTTACTAATTTATTTAAATAAAAAAAATTATCAGTTTGTACAAAAGTAAGTTTACAGTTTGATTTGTAATTCAAACATCTGGCAGTCTTTTTTTGTGACAATCACACGAACCCATATTTTACCACTTGTTGGCTTTTTCATTACTTGTTACTTTTTTTAGTCATTTTGGTTTTCTTTTTTCCTAGTTTTTTATGTTTTAAACTATTAACCTGCATTTCTGTTTAGTCTATTTTTCTTTAATACATTTTATAAAAAATAAATTTATAATAAAAAATACAGTAAACAATATAATGTATACTGTGTTTACATTCTTATTTCAACAATTGTGTGATAGATTTTTTCTGCTTTGCAAACCTGTGACTTTTTCCTACAGCATATTTTTATTACTGTTATGAGTCTCAAAATAATAAGTGTTTTTTTGCGTGTTTTGGTAAGTATGCTGTTAAATACAGTAACTAGTTGATATATAAATTGTGTTTATTGTAATTGCCAGTTTTATTAATTGCCAGTCTTTGTTTTTAATTACACACATTTTATTTTGTAACATGTAACATATTATGTTTAACATCTGACACATGGTATATGCCAACCAAATTATTGTTATAACAAATAACTGACCTTTGAACTCTTTGTTTTTCTTTTCTCCTCTTTCTAAAGTACCCTAAATGAGGAAAGTCCACTCAGCAGCTGGAGGTATGCAGAGTCTGTGCCCTGGACATTTAATCTTTTACCTGTTTTCTTGTTTCCCCTAACTCTGTGTTTTTCATTACTGTTCTTATTAGAATTTTATTCTTCTTATTAGTATTTGTCATTAGGATTATTGTTTTGTCCTGTTTATTTCTCTTGTAGAAGGATGTCCTCTCACCTGACATCACATGCAGTTTGCCAGGTTCTCGCTTAGCTCTACAGTTTCTTAGACATACAGCACTGAGCTTCACTGACACTTCTTGTGAATAATTGCGTTTTCATAGTGATTCACATAAAGTGGCATGAATTGAATCAAACAAACAAAAAAAGAAATAAAATTGAATTTGGGCCAAATTTTTTTAAATTACGTTAAGATATGTGTTGGTCCTCCATTGACATTCTAACTTGAATTGGCTTAAATTGTTTTACTGTCTTAGTGATTCATTACTATATATATACAGTACAGAACTGGGACATTTTGTGCAATCTAAATAAAACAGAATGCACATATMTGCAGATCTTGGAAATCCATGTTATATTTATAGTGGAACATCAAGCGCTTAAACTAAGAAGTCATAGTTTTTTTTCTGAAAAAAATGCAAAAACACAAGGAAATTTTAATTAGCAAGTGATAATTAATTAGCAGCAACACATCTTAAAAAACCTGGAAAGGAATCATGTTACACTGTGAAGTCTCCCCTCCTGTAACAGTCTTTAAATATAGAGGAACTATGCTTACAGAGGCTGTGTCTCAATTCATGGGCCATGTGGGCCACATCCTCCCTGGGCCACGTAGGCTGCTCAAAACTGCTGTGAAATGAGATGGTCTACCCTTCGCCTGACGTCTGTTTACGTGAGTTTGCATGACCACGCGCTACCCTGTTACCATAGTGATCAGTTTCATATTAGACTTAAACTGCATTGGGACATGTAATTTACACATCTTTTTATAGAAGAATAACTTCACAGTTAAAACATTACACGTAAAAAAAAAAAAAAAAAAACAAAAACAAAAAAACTAAGCATTAATAATTTGGGTTTAGCTCCAGTATCTACAATGGAGTATTAGGTCAACAC